AAGGAATAAAATTACCTACATATAGATGTCCTGACCAATTTTAAATGTGTTTATTCACTGCCTAATTTGCCCCAGTTTGAACTCACACAGTTTCCCAACAAAATCCTGAAAAGCAGTCCCAGGCCTCAGTTTGCACAAAGACAGGGTTCCATCTTATCTCTGGCTCCTGCCTCAGGGAAGCAGTTGTTTACCCAGCAGTTAGCACTAGTCCAAGTGCTCATGTGCTGTTTATACAAATATGACTTGGTGGTAGTTTTTGCCCCTGAGTCACCTCTCAGTGAAGAAGAAAGATATATGTAAAACAAATAACTTAAATATTCTATGACAATTCCATATAACTCCATATAATTAAATATTCTATATACAATATGCCAAAGGTACACAGAGGGAGGAAAAGCTATCTTTAGGGGACAGGACAGAAGACATTCCACTGAAAAGATGTTGCGCCACATCTTATGAGGAGGCTGGAAATCAAACTTCTTAACTAGGAAACATTTCAAACTGCATTAGCCTAAGAGCACAACATTCAAAATCTTCCCCACACTAGCCCCAAGCTCTGTTTCCAACCTCTTCTCCTACCGCATATGCTCACAAACACTATGTTCCCACCATGTGAAAATACAGGGGTTCCCAAACACACCCTCCATTTTCTTGGGATTCTTTTGCTGATGCTCTTTTCCTATGGGCTAAACATCCTTCTTTTTAGCCTTTCAAAATCCTTATTATTCTTTAGTTTTATCTAAATATCAACATACCTGATGCTGCCAATTAGAGTTTGTCCCTTCTTCCTCTAACTTTTATTGCATTTATTACATGCCAGTCGTTGTCCTAAATCTTTTATATATACTGACTCGTTGAATCCTCAAGATAACCTATTTTAGGTAAGCCCCAATATTGATACCCATTTCACAGATAAAAGTAACTGATACATAGAAAGATTAAATAACTTGTTGAAGTTCATAAGACAATAATGGCTTCAATTTGTTGAGAATCAATGGCTTTTTACAGTTGATTTATTTACTACTCACAACAATTTGTGAAGGGGTTTGTTGCTTTATCCCTTTTTGAAGGGGTGAGGGAATGGAGAGTTAAAGAGGTTAAAACAAGCACCCACTGCAGTAAATGGGTGGAGCCAGGATTCAAATCCAGCCAGCTGACAACCTCAATCTCATCATCCACCTCACTCCCACCACTGTCATGACATTCTTTTTACCCCACTTCCTAATCCGGTTCAAAGACCTCTTGGAACAATGACTCCCTCATAATATGGATATAGAAACTGAGGCCCAGAAACTTGATTGGGTCTCATTCCCAGACCATGTTTCTTGTCATCATATTGCCTTGCTTCCATCAAAACCTAGGAGAGAGCTGATAATCAGTCACTCTAACTGCTGACCTCCACTGTTAGCTCCATGCCCTGCGTGACTACACTCTGGGTATTTTTCATGGCAAGATAGAAGAAATGCTGTCTGAAAAAGACGGTAGCAGATACTATGGCAGATGGCCAAGAATCTGAGACCTGTTATTTAAATGTGCTCATGTAAGGACACATACACATGCCAAATTAATCTGTGGGCTACCAGGATAATTCATTTTAATGCATGAAAAAAACAATAAACATATTTATAATAAAAATAAGTAAATAAGGCTATTGCTGAAACAATATAAAAAATTGAGAATATGCCCCACACAAAGTATACTTTATGTAAGATCATTTTTTATGCATGTAAATAGTTAAATGGGATACCAATGTTAAAATCTCAGAAGTTCTTTAAATCTCTTTTCATCAGACTTTGATGGATTTATTGCCCCTTATGGTGCAAAAGAGTGGTATTTGGCTCTTTGCCAGGGGGACTGCTTGACACCTTAATATGTCCATGAATTTGTTGTTTTAAAATGAATGTACGGTAAAGTAAGAATGGTTGAATCATAGCTTCTCAAATTCTATTTAATGTCACATTCTAGTTAGCCAGCAATATGAATATATGGTTAGAATAAATGTAAAATTGTAATAGTGATGCTTTACAAAGCACTTCACAGTTTATGAAATAACATAAGTAAAGTGTGAATCACAACAACCCTATAAAATCAAGGGAGTAGGATCCATACTCCAGTATTATGCGTGTGTGTTCAAGTGTGTGTTTGTACAATGACAACCCAGATTTACACAGCTAATAAAGTGGCAAAGCCACTTGAAACTGCTTTCAGCCAAGTTTGTTTCCACTGTTTCCAATGCTGTTTATCTTTGTAATGGCCATGAGGGATTTTAGAAGCCATCTAATTTAATTCCCACATGTCAGAGATGATGAACCTGAGCCCCATGGAAGTATGAGTGACTAATCCAAGGTTACTGACCAGGTAGTGGTGAAGTGCTAGAAACCAAATCTTCCTGAATGTGGAACACTTTTTCACTACACCATATCAACTTAGGTGGAGGGCATCCTATTATGAGAGAAAGTAGAGAATGCTGCTGGTTTGGTTATTCAGTGCCTTAGAGTTCTGCCCCAGCACCAAGGCTTTGGGTGTGATCACATTTCATACACAGTCCTACTTCCTACTGGGCTTCTAATGATGCTAAAGATGCAAATATATTGGGTAAGAAATAGCCCTGCAGCCAGCAGCCAGCCACCACCAGGGGCCCTAGCAGCACCCCACAGCCCTACATTAATGCAGACAGAGCTACAGCTTGAAGAGGTGTTGCAAGAAGAAAAGGTATGGCAATGCTAGGAAGAGGTTTTAAAAAAGGCAATGGTCTTCGATATACTCTGTAGAGAGCTTATGTCTCCATGCAAACCTGAATGCCCTGCTCTTCAGCAAATGTTCCTGGGCTCACCACCCCCACCACAACTCCTCTGCTCCCTGGTTAAATTTACACTCCTGTCCAGCACTGTGGGAATGAGACTGCAGCCTGTCCTGCCTGACCAGATGGGTTGAGAGTCTCTGTCAACACCAATACTATTTTGTAACAGTGACTAAAATACTTTCAACATTATTCTTAGTAAGTTTTTTTATTACAGAAGTAAAACTCTGAAAACTTAATAAACTGTTTCTTCAAAGTTATTGGCCTTCTTCAAAGAATTTTAACCACTATTCTTCATAGCAATCAAGAGAATAGGCTTTGGTGTCTGACACCCTTGATTTAAATCCTAAATCTTTCATTTATTTGCTATGAGATCTTAGATAAGTTGCTGGACTTTGCTAAACCTTCCCATTTGTAAAATAACATCTGCCTGTCAGGGTTACTGTGAATATTAAATAAGACTACATACATCAAGCTATTAATAGGGTGCCCGGTATTGGGTGAGCACCAAAGAAATAAAACTACTATTTATTTTGCTATAAAAAGTGCAAGGGTTCATAAAAATAGGACAATTTTTGTTTTTACAAATGACTGAGGCTAAATATGCCCACTAGGTAGTTAACTGACATTTATTCATTCTTTCATTTGGCTAACACTGATTGAGAACCTGCCTTGTACTAAACCTTATATTTGCTACAGTGATGACTAAAATCCCCTCCACTATCAAGGGGTTCAGAGACTAATGGGTATTTAATTCAATTATATACATCAGTAACAAACTCTGTGCATCACTGCTACACTATATAAATGTTTGCCTAACTCCCCTACTACAAAGTTGCTGATGGCAGAGACTATATTTTACTTGCTTAACATCACATTAATACACAATATGGCACTTAGTCAGAACTACTTAATACATAATCTGGCACTTAGAACTCAATAACAAGAGTTAAGTCAACTTGTTCCTAGGAAACCTTAGTATTTATGATTAAAATATTTAAGTAGTATTTTGGATGAATATAATTTTAAGATTCACACTCTACTTATGTTATTTCATTTATTCAAACAAAAACCTCTTCAAGAAAGGTAGGAGTGGACATTATCACATTATATATGTAACATATATCCAATTCCTGTACAAAATTAACTTGTAAGGTCAAACTACTAAAGAAATTGACACATTTAATTTGATAATGTAGAATAACGTAAAACTCAATTGAAGGGTATTTGAATGTTCAAATATTGTAGTGACATACTCATCATCAGCCAAATGGCATTTTGAACTGGGTATGACATCTGTCACCTATTGATCTAATTTGATTCTAGTGGCGTACCTGGCCAAGAAGAGTCCTTTACCCGGAATTACATGGATATCACACTGCAAGCTATGGACTCCATTCTATAGGATGACTTCCCCAGACAGGCGGATTATTCAATAAAGAACTATTCCTAGCCATAAACTTGACTCTCAATTATCTCTCTTACAGGTTTTGATTTTTAAAGGTCTCTTTCCCTTCTTCCCTTAATTCCAGGGTTCAGTACAATTTCAGCCAAAAACAAAAATTCTGTAGGTGAGAGACCATGTAATACTCAGTTTTAAAGCTGTGGGCCAATAACACAACTTCTAGGAAGGAGACACCCCTCTGTAATGAAATGTTGCCTGGTTCACTATAGTCAGAGTTCAAATACACACTCTACTATGCAAAAGAATTTTAAAAATCAAAAATTAAAATCCATTGATAAAATATAATTCCACTAGACAACAAGCCTCTAGCAATTGATTTCAAGTAGGTGCAGTCTGATTGCTTCTCACCTTTTCAAATGCAGAAATCTCAACTTCAACTCATGTTAGTGGCAATCTTATTAGATAACTGTATACCCTACATTAATGACTGCCTTCTCTGCTCTAAGAGAAGTGCATCTGTGTATCTAAGGTTAACTTTATGATCCACAAAAGAGAGCACGGGTCTGAGGAAATGATCTCACTGATTCTCTCAAAACCCAAATATTTGCTATTTTCATTGCAGATGGTATGACAAATGGATATATACACATTCTGATTACTCAGGAAAAGAGTTCCAGGAAGAAAATCCATAGCTGAATATTAACATTTGTAATAAGAGAAATGCAAGGAAGACATAGGGAGACAGGATGAAGACCCAGTTGGAGCAAGCCCCACAAACAGAAGGCTTACCTTTGGCCAACTAGGCATCCTCTTCTGAAAAACTCTGATTCCTGGTTCTCCACAATTTTATTCCTTTGTCCCAGACTGAGGGCTTAAGTTGAACCTGAATATTTGAGGCCCAAACTGATAATGGGTTTTTAGGAATTCATTACATCAACAGAGACACCTGAAGTAGAAAAATGAATTTAAAAACCTTTCTGTTTATTCTGTATTATATTCAAACAAGAGCAAATATTTGTTGTACTGGATCCCTCTAAAAAAAGGTATATTTCAAGGGACTAAAAGATATGAACAAAAGTGTGAGTGAGCATTAAAAAGCAAAGGAATGGAATACTTTGAAACAAACAAGCCAAATGCTTAATTCATAATAGAGCTTTTCCTGGAAGGGTTTCCAGTATGTTTTATTTGAAGTACATGTGAAGGTATAAAGTTCAGCAAGGTTTAGCAAAAAAAAACACAGTAAACCCCCTTATATTTAATTCAAAACTTTGAACTGTGAAATAACTCTGGTATGGAATTAAAAATCAAAACATCCGTTAAAGTTCAATATAAAGTAATGCTAAAAAGCTGGCTTTCTTAAAAGATGGAATATCCTATTACAAATAATTTAGAACTGTTTTTAAAGTGCATTAAAGATTTTAGTTTATTAACTTGATTCCTTGGCTTGGGAATGAGTTTTTTACTGATTTCAATAGCATTAATTCCAACAAACATTAATTAAATATTGGACATGTCTTTGCTAGATGCTTCAAGATATAGGACTGTGACCTCCTTTAGAACAAGAACAGGACCTTATCTATTTAGTTAAGGAATAAAAATAGTAGAAAAACTAAATTATTGTGCATGGTATATACAGACAGAAATGTAGAAAACACAATTGCTATCCTACTCAAAGCAGGGGAGAATCACCATTTGTGAAGAACAAAATAGGCATTATTGAAGGCAGCACATACATGGACCCTGATGAATGGTGAGGATTGTGATGGATACCAAAGCATGGTTAGAAATTTGACAACAATAGAAAGAAAAGAACATAGGGACTAAGAACATGGGCTCTGTTTGGATTCCAATTCTACTATCAATTAACTATATGATTTAGGGCAAGTCATTTAAACTCTCTCTTTTGATTTCCTTTTATAAAATGGAGCTAGTAATAATGCACACTTCTTAGGACAGTGAAATAATTAAATTAAGTCATTACACACAAAATGCTTAGATTACTGCCTGGAACACAGTAAGTCCTATAAAAGAGTTAGTTATTATCATTCTGTATAGAGTAATGGCATGGTTAAAAGAGAATGGAATGGCATGGTTAAAAGAGAATGGGTATAGAATGGTGACTGGCTGGAAGGGCATAAACAGGGGAATAGTAAAAGATAAATTGATAGTCTATTGTAGAGAGTGTCAAATAACAGGAGTTTATTCTAAATTATGTAGGAAGTAGGAAACCAATGAAGTTTTTGTCTTTGTTTTTGCATTTAACCTAGGGCCTAGGCTAAATTAGGGTTGCACTTTATGAGGATTAATCTGGCCTTGATGCAAAGGATGGATTAGTGGTAGGATAGACAAGATATGAAGAAAAGCTTTGGCATAAAGCAGACCAGAAAGTAATGAGAGGCTAAGCCAAGGAAGTGGCAGTAGGAATGGCAAAGACAGATTCTCTCATCTGTTCATGACAAAAATGAAATAATTTAGATATTAGGGAGAATTTTTAAAAGGTTTCTGATGACTGTTTCACATCTATGAAACTTTGATCTCATCAAATAAAATGGGAAAGTCAGGATAAGAAACTCTGGTGCAGTAACAATGAGCAGCTCGCCTTTGAATATGCTGAGTTTAAGGTACCTAAAGGACATCCTATTGGCACATAAAACTAGATATCTCTGCAGAGGGACAATAGTTAAAGAAACAAGAACAGATAAGACCTCTGGGAAAGAGGAGGGAAAGAGAAATTACTTCAAGAATGAAACCTTAGGAAATCCCAAACAACCAGAAAGCAGACAGACACCAATGACATGAGAAGTCACCCAAGCCTGACAGGCATCACTTCTTTACCACCACCTTACTTCCTGTGGAAACAATCCAACCTAACTGAAATTCCATACCTTTAGGAGAAAGAAATATTCTTCCCTAAACTGTTATGCTTTTCATGGCTTTTTTTCACTGTGGAGAAGTCATAAATACACTCCCTGAATGCAAGACGTAACTTGGTTTCAAGTTCAAACTCTGGACCCGTGAAAACTAATTGTAGAAGCATCTCTTACATTTATGCTTAGGGACGTACAGATCACTCTCTGCTCTGACTTAAGTTTACTACCAAATAAGTGATGACAATGGTAACAATATCTAGAGAGAGAATTACCTATGCTTTACATGTGATAACTCTTTTTATAGATGCCGCATATTCCCTTTCAAGAAGAAAACATTTTGTATACTTTAATCTTCCGCCTTTTTGATAGGAGGAATGCTCATATCCCCAAGTAGAGTCTGTGGAATGAACGCAACATGAAATTGATAAAAATCCTCTTCTTTAAGGAAATTAATCAGATGTTTCAACTCTAAATTGGCATTAGTAGTCCCTACATTCTTTCTATCTCCCTGCCTCCACATATTCAACATTTTTCTTGACACTAAAATTGATCCCATTGCCTGGACTTCCAGTTAACTACCCTCCAAATCCCATCAAAGTCTGTCATTCCAAACCACTTGTTTTCATTGCCTCATTACTCCTACCATCCCTGACGTACTCAACCCAGAGCCCTAGAATTTATGCCCAAATGCTTAACTTTGAAACTATAACTCTTAACCTTGATGCAAACTTTAAAAATAAGTTGTTATGGATAAATATGTATTAAAATCAAGCACAATTCAAGATAGTGGTTCCCTGGGTAAAGGGTGGATAGCAGCCAGAGGTTTGCAATGAACAAGTGACTAGGGGGAGCCTCGAAGCATTGGTAATAGTCCACTGCTTAAGTGTAACAGTGGCCTCTAGGATGTTCAGTTTACAGTTACGCTTTATAACTTAAACATACTATATATTTTTACACAGCAAATACCTTAAAATATGTCTTTAAAAACTATCTCCCAAATATGCTGCCTCATATTTACTTGCCACATTTATAATTTAAAAAACCTATCATTAGACATGTTGACACACACATTACTGGATTTGCAACAAGCCTTACTATGATTATCTGAATCCCTTGTCTAGATTTATGCAACTATAGCAGAGAGATAATTTTAAGTTCAAATTAATAAGTTTTCTTTTTGGTTCCATATTTCTAGAATGTGATTTATATTTTCAGAGTGATTTGATTTTGAATACCAAAAGGAGACTCAAAAAATGACATTTACATCATTAATCCAAACATACATACAAATATGCCCAAAACATACAAATATGTCCATGAGGTCCAGGATCCTTCTAATAAAAATAATCGAGGAATGATTTGATGACAGCCACAGCTGTAGTTGTGTTGAACTCCTGGGTTTGTTTCATTTGAGTTTAATTATTTCTAATGAAACCACTCCCTCTGTTTGGCCCTAACTAAGGTGTAGGATCACTTGAGCTGTGCTGGCAGGTCTCAACTTGTAAGCACAAGTGGCCTCTTTAGCCCACAGGTGGGCTGCCTTACACCTGTACAGGCAGACAGAGAGAGATTAGGGCCTGTGGGTGTAACTCAGTTACGTCTGTCAACATCAATGAGTGCCAACCTGCAGGGACAATTGTTGAAAATGTAGGATCAGGTCCTGCTCATGAATTAGCTTTTCATCCCATTCAATCATGTTACCAAGTACCTACCACATACGAGGCACTCAACCAGGTGTTTGGGGTAATTAAAAGGATGAGACCCAGTTCCCACTTTAAGAAGTTATATTCCAAGATCTGTTACAACAGTGGTTCTCAAACTTTAACTTGCATCAGAACCACCTAGATGGTTTGTTAAAACAGTTACCTGGGCCCCACCACCAGAGTTTCTGATTCAACAGGTCTGGGATGGGGCTAAAGAATTTGCATTTCTTATGTGTTCCCAAATGTTGCCGATGCTGCAGGTCCAGGGACTATATTGCAACAAGCATTGTGATAGACTATTTCAGAGGTCCAGGATGTCTCTCAGGTTGTTGGCATACTTGATTAAGTAGTCACTGAAAAACTGACTTCAAAGAATATGTCTTCTACCTGTCTAGAAATACATGTTTAAAATAGTACTGTTGATATTAATTATAACAATAATGATTACTGCTGACACTTAGTGAGTCTTTATCACATGCCTGACAGTGCAAGCTGCTTTACATGCTTTGCTTCAGTGGATCCTCACAGAACTTCAGTTGGGTTGGTATTATCATCTCCATTTCACAGAGGAGGAAACTAAGGCTTAGAGCTTTAAAAGGAACTTGCCCTAGACTCAAGCTAAGCCCTTGACATTTGAGCCTGGCTAGTTCTTTGCTAGTGGGCGGGGATGTCCTGTGCATTGTAGGACATTTAGAAGCATCCCTGGCCTCTGTCCATAAGATGCCAGTAGCACTCCCCTTCAGTATGACAACAAAAAATGTCTCCAGACGTTGTCAACTGTCCCTACACCTGGTTGAGAACTACCGCCCTAGACACACAGTTCAGGAAATGCTGAACCATTTAACCTTTTCATCCATCAAAAGTCAAATGTATTTTTACTTCAGAGCACATAATGTTAAAGCTGGAAAGAAAGTTCGAGATTATTTGAATGAATTTGTTCACTTGCAGATAAGGAGCCCCACCACACACAGAAGTACTTCAGCACTCTGCCAAGAATCAGGAGGAATTCAGATCAATACTGACATCTCTACAATGCACAAACTTTTCCTCATTTTGTTGCCCCACTTATTCTCAAGAAATATTCCCAGCCCTTGCTCACTCATGATGAGTGTGTTTTACTCTCTGCCAGCAAACACTCAAAAAGCAAATAAATGGCCTGGCTCCTTCTCATTGCGTGCCACAAAATAGATAAGAAAATGTATTGGGATCCCTGGGGAAGTTTTGTAAAAGGGCAAGTCCAAACATAACAAATTGATAGGAGCCAAAGACACTCATGTAAACCTGCCTAGGTCTGCCTTTCAAAAAGACAGCTCTGTCAGTGAAAATACAAAGTTTGCCCAATATGAAGAAATCTGGTAATCATATACAATTAC